CCCCCCCATTCCCTCGCAGAGAGCCGGAGCGACAAGGCCAAGCGCCTCTTCCGACATTACACGGTGGGATCCTACGACAGCTTTGACGCCCCCAGGTAAGATGCCTCCCCGCGGGGTCACAGCCCCCCGTGCGCCACCTCCCCCGGGTGTCACAGCCCCCCGTGCGCCACCTCCCCCGGGGTCACAGCCCCCCGTGCGCCACCTCCCCTGGGGTCACAGCCCCCCGTGCGCCACCTCCCCCGGGTGTCTCAGCCCCCCCGTGCGCCACCTCCCCTGGGGGTCACAGCCCCCCGTGCGCCACCTCCCCTGGGGGTCTCAGCCCCCCCGTGCGCCACCTCCCCTGGGGGTCACAGCCCCCCGTGCGCCCCCTCCCCCGGGGTCACAGCCCCCCCAAATCACAGCCCTCCCCCGCGCCGCCCCCAGGCCCTGTCTGCCTGGGCCGATCGCAGGCCGGGCTGGGTCTGTGGGACAGTGAGGAGGCAGGACCCCAGCGCTGGGGGGGTCTGGCTGGCAAGCGGGGGTCAGTCCGGAGGGGGAGGTTGGAGCTGTAGTTTGATGTTGGGGGGTCAGGGTGGGGGGCTGGGAAGTTGGCAGTGGGTGCGGGGGGAATGGAGGTTTGGGGCGCTGAGGGTCAAGGGTCAGCAGGTCAGGGGTCGGTACTGGAGTGTCTGGCTGGGGCCGGGGCGGGGGGGCACTGTCCCGTTCTATCTGGCTGGGAGCCCTAGTGTCAGCTCCGTGCGGCAGCTCAGAGACACCCCCCCGCCCCTGCGATCCCGGAAGGGAACCAGGAGAACACGGGGTCCATATTTGGGGGCAAGTTTCTGCCCCCCCCCCCGAGGAGGCGGCCCCGCCCCATAGTGCAGACGCCCACCCCCCAACCATGCTGGAGATAGAACCCAGGCATCCGGGTGGCAGGGCAGGTGCGCTGGACTCCTGGGTTCTCTCCCCAGATCTCGCCACAGGCTGCAGAGAGTGGGGAGGGGGCCTGGCCCAGAGCTCAAGGGAATGACTGGGGGGGTGTCTCTGGTGGCGGGGATGGGGGAGATGTCTGCCCCGCCATGTCCCGTCCTCCAAGGGCATCGGGGACCTCCCCCCCCCTTCCCTGGCAGGGCCAATCGGCCGCTCGCCATCTGCCGGCGCAGATGGGACACAGCAGGGAGCCCCCCCCCGAACCTGATGTTGGGAGGGGAGCCAGAAACGCTGCCTCCACCAGGCCCCCCCCAGCTCTGCCAGTGCCCCTCACTCATGACTGACAGCCCCCTGCTAGCCCAGCCCTGACCCCCCCAGCTCTGCCAGTGCCCCTCACTCCCAACCCGCAGCCCCTTGCTCGCCCTGCCCCCCCACCAAGCTGT